ACCAGGACCACCACGACCACCAGGACCACCACGACCACCACGACCACCACGACCACCACGACCACCACGACCACCACGACCACGCCCACCAGACCACGCCCAACCAACACCTCCTTCAGCCCGAGAATGCCGAACACCTCCCCCACGGCTTCTATGGCGACATGCGCACCTCGCAGACTCCCCCAACCTCGTCCAATCCCTCCCCACGCTTCTCCGCCCTATCCCCCGGGAGAGAGCGCAAGCAGCCAGCCTCGGCCTACACGCCAGACGATCGCTCCCTGCCGCCGCGCGACGTGTCCGACGACACCATCGACGCTGCCTACGCCGCCTTTATCCTCTACTGCAACCCCAGCTTCCCCGCCACCACCACCGACACCACCGAGCTGGTCAAGTTGTTCAGGACGCCGCCGAAGAGCGATGGAAACGCCTTTAGCACCTGGACCCTGTTTGAGCTCATTCGCAAGTTCGACGCCAAGGAGATCAAGACGTGGACCCAGCTGGCCCTCGACTTGGGCGTTAAACCGCCCAATACGGACGAGGGGCAGAGCACGCAAAAGGTGCAGCAGTACTCGGTCAGGCTCAAGGTACGGATTCCCCATGTCTTCTGAACACCTCTCCCCCCTCTTTTCCTTCCCAGTTGACTGTCCGCAGCGATGGATGCGTGCGATGCATATTGACGCATTCTTCGAATACCTCATTGGCAACCAGCATCCCTACTATATCCAAATACCGCCTTTGCACGACCCCTTTCCCGACGGAGGCCGTGATGGCGTCCCACTCGAAGAAGATCTCGCCATTCGTGCACTGGACCCGAAATTCAAGCCCAAGCGAGGGCGACGAAAGGTAGAAGACGGGGAAGACGACATGGACTATGACGAAGGCTCTGCCCCTGTCCGGAAGCGACCTCTGCTTGACACATCGGTACCGTTTGGCAACGCTCTGCAACCGCAATCAGCATATCCGACTACTGCACATCCAGATCACCATCTGGGAGGCTTTCTGACACCACAGGATCCGTGGACTGCCGTCTCAGCAGTCACTCCGTCTTCTGCCTTGACTGCCGCTTCAGCACCCGGACGTCTAGGTCAGAAGAGTCTCACGCCATACTCGGCTTCGCCCATGTCTGGCCAACAACTACGCTGGCGCCTCAATACAACAGACACTCCGCAAACACCGCACCCCCTGTCGGCAGTGACCCCCCAATCCGCCTATCCGTTCTTTGATGAACCCCAATCGGCCGTCACACCCTCGAGTGCCAAACCGCGGGCCAGGCGACGGCATGGGCCTGCCGTGTCATCAGCCTGGTCTACCAACAATGGCTCGTCCACTGGCAAACTTCGAGGTCGACCACCAAGCAACCGCTCCATCCGCGACGGCCCCTTTGTCACCTTCCCCGCCAATCCCAAAACCCGCGAAGGCCCCCCCATCGACCGCAACCCCGGTAACCTGACGCCCATTGTCGAGCGTGCACACTCGGATCCCCCGAGCCAAGAACACATCTTTCGCTTCCCACCCACACCTGCCTCTGCCATCTCGCCATCGCGCATGGAAGGCTCCATGCCCGGCTCCGGACAAAAGCAACGATTGAGTCTACAAGTCCCGCCCAATGTCGGAAATCCCGTCGTCCGCCTCGTCACACCAACTGTCCTTGTCAATGGCGAGGAAAACGAATCCCCGGCCTCGAACCTCCGAGCTTCAGGTAGGAGCAGTGCCGTCTCCGAGCCCCGCGGTGATGCACACCTATGCAGCAAAACACAAA